AGACTCAAACTTATAACTCTTTTTACGTCTGTGATTAAAAAATGGGAGTTAATTTCTGCACCATTCACTACTCTAGTGAACTTCAAAGTTCATTCGTGTCAACACTATATTTTCGTACACAAACCTTCAATATACAAGTATACAAAGCATCAAAAGTATACACTTATTACGGCCATACAAAATTATGTATATTAAATATTGTACCGCCATTTTGAAAATGATTTAGTCGAGTTTTAATAATAATCATGTCGTATTTTTTAAGCTCGTAAGTTGTTGAAGCTGCGCTATTTTTTTGAAACGCTTTGTTAGGCTCTTGAAAATAAATTAACGGAATGCTCTTTTTCTTTTCTGTTATAGGACCACACCATAATTCGTAAATAAAGTCACTTGTGATCATACGTTAAAAATGTTTTATTATAGAAGTATATATTGACCCTTAAATTAATGTGTGACTTTGTGATGACGATTGTCAAGAAGCTAGTTTATTTTTAATCCTCGTGTCCGAAGTACGACATCTTCCTGCACTTAACGGAGGTCATCTGCTCCACTTTTTTTCTTTTATTTCTTCTCTTCTTATATCTTCTCAATTGTACTTTTTATAAATTCGTCACAGATGCCGCCATTTTCGCCCTTTGTTCTCTATTGTTCTTAAAACACTACTCTCTTCCTAACACTGGGCGATAGAATTAAGCTGAAACTTTACCCTATGTTTCACAAAGCTCATTTAATGGAGCACAAGCTTAATATTTTCGGTGTGAGTCGCTTCGGAAATGATTAAGCGAGGTATGTGGGAAAATATTGTTCCCGATAATCACTTTTATATTTTATGTTATGTACTTAATTATAGGATTGTAATTAGATATTTGGGGATCCAGGGGCACACTGTCGGGCATGGACTTTTTTAAATGGAACGTAGTGAATTTTCTTTTATATATAATTAAGTTTGTTTGATAGTTGAATGGTGTTTGCATACATAACATAATATTATCAATTAATTATAAATAAATTATAAATAAATTAACAATAGGTATAGATATAGTTAAGCATCACACATTTTGTCGCATCATAAATTAATTGTACGCATATTGCGAATTTAAGTAAGTCAATGTTTTTGTAGTATTAGTTTAGTGCGCCTGTGACGCACTCCCTGGGCTCCGCATAATACCAGCGACGTGGCTGTTCTCAGCCACGGCACATGCTGAGCGGTGCCCATTCAGTATCAGTAATTTTAGTTTTAATTTATTTTTATGTACATACAATTTAAGAGTACTGAATAAATGTTTCTTTCTTTCTTCTTCTTCTTTGAATACTGATTTCATCTATAAAAACAAAATGTAAAACGTTATATTATTATACGAGTCACTAGAAAAAAATAGAAACGAAAAATCAATAAAATTAATTCATTTCAATTTTTTTTTGTATTTATTTAAAGTTTATTATTATAAAGTATATATTACTTAGTAGCAGTAGAGCTAGTTGTGAAAACGTTCGTCTGGTGAAGAATGTCAAGTTACCTATTTCTACCGCCAAGCAGTAATGTGAGCATTACAGCTTTCTGGTTTTGAAGGGTAAGGCTCAATTTATATTGCGGCGGAACGGAATGGCAGCGAGTTTTTGTAACTACTATATGTAGCATATAAAATAAAATTATTAATTGGTAACAAAATTTATACGTTACAAGTCAGTTACCAATACCATTCAACATTTGTAAAACGGACATTACATTAATATTGCATTTCAAGTCAGCGATTTAGTCATTCACGATTAATTATAAAATAAACTACTACGTAGCATTCCATTTACAATACATTATGTCACATTTACTTTATACTACATGACATAAAAAAATAAAATGAGTACAATATCAAATAATCAAAGATAAATCATGATACGACAGAAATTACATTGTGACAATTGATTTTAAGAAATAAGGAATTCTTTAATGTCATAGAAATATATCAAATCAAATCAAATCAAATCGTTTATTTGCATAAAACATGGTGGTCATGATAACACAGTAATGTACATATAAGTTCAAGCATGTTTCGCCCGAAGATAATTTAGGCATGCAAAATAAATGAAAAATAGGTCGTCACATGGTTACATTTACATTAAGTTACATATAATTAATTTAAATTCTTTTACATAAAAATTATTGTAGAAATTCCCTAATACTATAATATACTTTATTCTTTAACAATTCATATAATTTAGTCTTAAATAATGTAATGGGCAAGTGTTTAATGTCATTTGGTAATCTATTGTAAATTCTATTTAAAATATATGAAATATACGGTTAATTATGTAAAGTACAAACTAGATACGAGCCAAAAATCACGTCGCGCGTCTACGGCGAGCATTCTCATGCGCAAGCACGGGAATTCGGCGGAAGATTTTGGCTCGTATCTAGTTTGCACGTAACCCAATTGACGACATAAAGTTCAATATGCTGTGTATAATATCGTTACCAAAATTCGCTTCCATTCTGTTCTACCGCAATATAAATTCTGCCTAAGTGTGGTACAACTACAGGCACAATCATGGGACTTGTTAATTTATGTCTCGAGATGACGGGCGCAAGGGTAGTGCCCCTTATTTTTTTGCGATTTAAAGCTCTGAGTGGCTCTGCAACTGTTTTGGTAGAGGTATCACTTTTATTTATTTATTTATTCATATTTTACAACTTACACCAACAGTAACAACAACTGAACATCTAAGCCACAGTCAATAACAGTTGAGACAGTCACCGTTTAAAAGCCAATCAGCGGTGACCGTCTCCAAGTAGTAACTAGCTGATGTCAGATATTTCAGCTGTATAATTAATATTACAATATAAATTTTGACTAAATTAAATTGTTAAATTAGAAGAGAGTGTGTTGTTGTGAAATTACAAGAGAGTAAAGAAGATTAAAAGGATATTTGTGTTGCTAAAACGAGCTATTCGTTCTGTGCATCGTTTAGATTTTCGGGTTTCTCTCAGAGAAAAGTTTAAGGAGACTGGTACCATGATTGTGGCATCGCAGTACATTTACCCAAATATTTTGTATGCCCGTAAAAATATACATAACTTCATTAAGAAAGAAGATGTCCATAACATTAACATTTGAACTACGTCCAAACTCATGGCACCACGATTAGGTAAACGATTCTTTTGTCGGGAACTGTATACGTTTTTACAATAAAATTACGCAGTAATTATTAAGGTTATTATTTCGTAAGTTTCAAACCAACATTAAAAGTATTTTAATTGAAAAGTTATATTACAAAATCAATTTTGTGACTATGTGTTTGATAAAAATGTATGGAAAGACGATATGAGTCTAGATTTTACACAAATTTGATTTAAAGTGCATTCTACAGCATTTAAGTTTATTTGATAACAGCAATCCCTAGAGTTTCTTGCTTGTTCTTCTGAGGGAAGTCAGCAACGTGAACGAGTAGTAGCTTAAAAAAAATACGTATTCAAGTGTATTTCACGTCCACTGCTGAATATCTAGTAGGGAGCCGTCTCACGGAACGGCTTCCGGTCTGTGGTCTCCATTCGAAAACCTTTCTTTTATGTGCCCTTCCCGCATAACCAAGAGGTTGATACGGAGGGTCACTATAAAGCAAACCTTATGTAGAAAGATATGGGACTGCCCGCTGCCACTTCAACTTGTTTATCCTTTGAGCTATGCGTTGACTTTCGTTCTTCTACGGATCTGCTGCCGAGAATTCCTCGATCCATGGCTTGTTGAGTGACTTGGAGCTTTTTTATGAGGCCCATAGTAAGTGACCACGTCTCAGAGCCGTAGGTCATCGCTGGTAAATTTATTTTACCTACGGAATTAATGATATTTAATTTCGACTATATAAGTTTTTTTTAGTAATAGTAGAGCTCCTAGTGAAAGAGGTCGTCCAGGGAAGTACTGGTTCCTTACCCATTTCAGCCGCCAAGCAGTAACGTTAGCATTACTCCGTTCCGGTTTTGGAAGGGTAAGGGTGCTGGCGAAATTACAGGCACATGGGACTTGTCGACTTATGTCTCAGGGTGACGGGCGCAGTGGCAGTGCCCCTCAGATAGATCATTGCAATGTAAAACTTTGAGTGGCACTGCAAGTGTAATAGACAGACGTTTAGCTTACCACCAGGCGCACCACTTGCTCGTCCCGTCACTTGATATTATAAAAAAAATGTGCTGTTAAGCTACCAACATTCGTTCTTTCTACATGGCCAAACCATCGAAGCATATGTCTATGTATCGATCATCCATCATCTCACACACTTCATCAATTTTACAATCAGATTGGTGATGTCCTTAAGACCGGGTTAAAAGAACCAAGAATTAACGGGTGTGTATGAAGATACTGATGGAAGTACAGTAGGTGAGGTTTGTCAAGAGCGCAGCAGGTGGATGTCCATAGTCTCAGCTTTCCCCGGTTGGGAGGCAGGCGTGACAATATGTTGTATGTAAATTAGAAAAGAAATTGAAATATTTTAAATTTTTATTGAATTTATATGCAATTATTTTTATGTGAAAGAAAAAATTCCTTCTTCAAAATTTGACGTCTTCTAGCATACCGTGCCAGACAAGCGTCTGTTCGTAGCGTCGTTCCATGGCTTAGTTGGTATCGAAACATAACGACAGCGGACCTCTCGAATTTTTCTATGTGCTTGAGTCGTATCTTTGTATTATTTGGTTTTTCAACGACTTTTTAGCCGTAGCGCCATCTATAAGAAATCTATACTATTTCGTCACCCAGTTAGATACCTTTACAGCTATAGCCCCGGCTAGAGATGTCATGATTAAAACATATTATTTACCGAAACGTTGGTTTGTATAAATAATGTCCGTACAGAGTACAAAAAAACCGACCTCAAAAATTCGTGGAATATCTATTTGCCAAGTTGTATTGAAATCGGTTATCGGAAAGTGCGCGAAACCGGATTCATCCCGGACATCAAAAGGCCCGACGGAATGAATTTTTTGCCGTGAGAGAGGTGTAGGTACCTCCTGTGGGATGCGACATGTGATACCTTCAGCTGGTGCAGCTGCTGAGTCCGCTGCTCGCAAGAAACGAGATAAACATAGTGAATTGGAAAGTCGCTACGTTTTCGTTCGTTTTGCTGATGAGACGGCGGGTTGTTGGGGTAGCGATGCGAAAAAGTTTGTAGCGGAAATCGGGCGACGCCGGCTAAGAGAGAGTGGATATTACTCCCGCGCCGGGTAGTTCTTGGTGCAAAGATTGTCCATTGCTATACAGCGATGAAATGCGGCAACCGTGATGGGGGGTTGCGCCGGGATCAGTCAAGGGCGGGCTTTTTGACGAGTGTGAGCACTGAACCATGTAATTTGTAATTTCTTGACTTATTGAAGTTGTTTGTTATTCATGACTATATTATATATTAAAAAAATATTTTAATAAATAAATAATAAATAACGCACACACTCAACATAGCCCCGCACTAGGGAAACCCTGTGTCGCGGGTGCCATGGACACACACATAGACAACCACAAATTACGCCCAACTATTTCTCCCGGCCCGGGAATCGAACCTGGGACCTCTGCGTGGCAGTCCGGCATGGTATCCGTTCGGCTACGGAGGCAGTTAAAAAATTTTATATAATAATAGAAGGCAAATGTAAATTAGAATAGAAATTAAAACATATTTACCGTAAAATTGGTTTGTATAAATAATCTCACTACAGAGTAGTAAAAAATAGACCTCAAAGTTCGTGGAATTACATCTACTTTCCAAGTTTTATTGAAATCGGTTACCGGAAAGTTCCGGTTTCGCAACCGGATACCCTCTTTCCATTAAAAAAGAATCATCAAAATCGTTTCACTAGTTATCGTAACATACATACAAAAATAAAATACAGTCGAATTAGGAACCTCCTCCTTTTTTTGAAGTCGGTTAAGAAACGCGATTTAGATACAGAAAACTAATTTATTAATTTGAAAATGTTCTTTCTATTTTTAGAGGCATAATGTTATTGCACGTTTATGTTCGTATAGGTGGTTCTTTTTGTAACTGGGAACCTCAGGCATTAACTAGCGCGTTGCAAATTATACGCAAGCATACTACACTACCTATTCCTAAAATTCGAAACATACTATTCTCTCATAATAAAGCCTCCATTCAGGTCCGGCGTTTGTATCAAAATTATAGTTATTTTATCTAAGTACGTATAGTTTTAGCAAAACATGTATTTTGTTGTATCACTGCCATTACAGACGACGTGTGATTTTATACTAAATATGTTTGGTTTTTGAATATTACTAAGTAACCAATCAAGTTAAGGTAGATGTAAAAAAAACTACCAATAGAATGTGACAGAGTTTCTCCAGAGAAGTACTGCCACCTTACCTATTTCTGCCGCCAAGCAATAAGTGTGAGCTTACTGTGTTCTGGTTTTGAAGAGTTTTGTGAAATTGCAGACACATGAGATTTGTCAACGTATGTCTCAAGGTGACAGGCGCAGTGGTAACTCTGAATGACACTGCAACTGCTATAGACAGGCGTGTCGATTAACCCCATGCGCACGATTTGTACGTCCCGTCGCTTGATGTCATAAAAAAAAAACAGAAAAATGTTTAGTATGTTAATCATGAAGAAACATACACAATATGGCGGTTTTATCGTTTAATCATGTATTATAAAACATTAACGTTACAGGGAAAGTAAAAAAAAAATACTTCAGAAACTCTGCCCCTAATGGATTTGTTTCTAAAAAACATGTGACGAATTCAATGGAAATATATTATTATAATCCTGTGTTTTTATGTTTTTTTTATGATACCAAGTAAATATGTTACTTGGTGTGTTGTTAAGCGACACGCTTGTCAAGAGTAATTGTAGTCCCACCCAGAGCTTTAAGTTGCAAGGAGCTGAGGAACACTTCATCTTCCGCCAAGCAGTAATATGAGCATTACTCCGTACTGGTTTTGAAGGGTGCTGGTGATATTACAGACACATAGGACTTGTCAACTTATGTCTCAGGGCGACAGGCGCAGTGGCAGTGCCCCTCATATCTTTGCGATATAAAACTCTGAGTGGCACTCCAACTGTTATGGACAGGCGTGTAGCTTACCATCAGGCGCACGACTTGTTCGCCCCGTCACTTGATATTATAAAAAAAGACTAATAACAAACTTTCAAAAGAAAAAATTCAAACAACTCCAAAAACCACAAAAAGTCACTACACTAAAAAGCAAAAATTAACAAAATACAGATTCAATCCAAAAGACAAAAATCCACATAATATTTTTCATTAATTTTTGTCTTATTTCGTTTAGTACACAGTATTAGGTTTATTTATACAATTACAATGTGACAATTGTTGTCCAAACATATTTATTACCTATAAAAACCTATTACTTATAATTTTAATAAAATAGTAAGTAAGTAAGTAAGTTTGAAATAGTACTTACCCCCAAAAAGAAATTAAAATATTTACTAAATCTAAATAATTATTTTTGAGTTGGTGCCAGCTAAATTAGTATTTAGTAAATTTATTTATTTATTTCGGTAAATACTTAAACAGTATTACATCATATGATTTCTTGACACCCCAAAACCTACGTTGATTTGTCTACGTTTATTTAAAATATACATAATTTCGTTACGAAGATATCCATAACATTAACCTTAGAACTAAGTCCAAACTCTTGGTACCACGATTTCGTGTAACTAACGTAAACGATTCTTTTATTTTTATTGTTTTTACAAAAGAAAATCCGGAGAATATATCAAGATTATCATTTCCTAAGTCTAAAACTTATATTAAAAGTATTTTAATTGAAAAGTCATGTTACAAAATTGAAGAGTATGTTTTAGATAAAGAAGTATGGAAAGACAACAAGAGTCTAGATTCCACACAATTATGTGTCAAACTGTATTCCATAGCATTTACGTTTATTTGAAAAGAGCAATCCCTAGAGTTTCTTTCTCGTTCTTCTCAGGGAGGTCAGCGTAGTGATCGAGCAGTAGCTTAAAAAATTACGTTTTCAAGTGTAAAAAATTTACCTATGGAATAAACGATTATTTGACTTGACTTGAATTTAACCATTAAGGTTTTTTTTATAATACTAAGTGAACAAGTCTTGTGCCTGGTGATAAGTGACACGCCTGTCCCTAGTTGCAGTGCATTCACATTCATAACTCACCAGTCTTATAAGTTCTTCTTTGGCACCGACTCCAAAAATAAATAGATATTATAAATATTTAAGTATCAATAATTTTTTTAGTGGTAAAGTACAATTTCAAACATATTTCTCGACCTACTCCTTTTTTTAACCTATATATGCCCAGGGGGTCGATAACGACCCAAAAGTACTTGAATAATTCTAACGCACCCTGACCGCGAAATATTGCATAAATTTTTATTACAGTGCCATCTTTCGATAGATAAAAGAACTATTTTGAAGGACGGCGCAGTATCATTTCTACTTTAAAATAATTTTTAATGACCAGTGCTAGTGCAACTTCGTACACGTTCATTTCTGGAAAAAGTTTGCGACCGAGTGCAAATCAATGTAAGTATTTTGTGTGATTTACGTTTTTTACTGTCGAAATAGGTTTTATAATAAACTAAATTAGATGTTTAAGAGATATAGTAACAATTTTTGTTTTAAAAATAGTTTTTTTTAGTTGTAATCAGTTGAAATATTTTTGTGGGTCGGTAACGACCCCGTGGGCACATCCCATGTTTTATGTTCATATGTTTTTGTTTTTTAGGTCTCGACACGTGCTCTCTACAAACGAAATAATTGACGCCCTGGAGTCGTTTAACGACGAGGAAGATGTCCGAGGTATCGACGTATACATTGATCCGCCTTGTGGAGGTAGCATATCGGACGGCGATTCAGGTGAGGAGGACTGTGACAATATAAATCGTTTGAACCGACATCAGTTACTTGCTCCAGCTGAAATGGTAGTACTACAACGCGAAGAAACTAATGGTGATGACACCACCGACAATGAAGTTTTAGTCAACCCTACTAGTACTGCTCAAATCTTCGAACCCATTTCTACGGCATCGGTGACCGTCGCTAACCCTCGTCGTGGAAAACGGAGCAACATCAGGCCACGAAAATGGATAAAACGAGATTTGCGTCTTCAAGGAAATGAGTGGTCACCTCCGCCTCCCCATGTTGTGCTCACACTCACCAAAGAAAGTGAACCGATTGAGTTCTTCGAATTATTTTTTAACGAAGACGTCATAAGGTATATAGTAAGGCACACGGTAATGTACGCCGTTGAAAAGCACAATACTAGTTTTTGTCTTTCAGGGGATGAGATGTACTGCTTCATTGGAATTTTAATTCTCAGTGGTTACGCGCCTTTGCCGAGACGGCGTATGTATTGGGAGTCAAACGAAGATACCCACAATGTTTTGGTGGCCAAATCAATGCGACGTAATCGATTTGAGGAAATATTTAGATATTTTCATGTTGCTGATAATAGGAACCTATGCACAGCGGATAAAATGGCAAAAATTAGGCCATTGTTCAACATCATGAATGAAAAGTTTCTCGTATACGCTCCCATTGAAAAAAACTTCAGCATTGATGAGTCAATGATACCCTACTATGGACGTCATGGCTGTAAACAGCATATTCATGGAAAACCTATCCGTTTTCGATTCAAAGCATGGGTTGCAGCGACTCGCCTTGGGTACTGTTTGCAAGTAGACTTATACGAGGGACGATCAGAACCGCGAGATACTGGCCTAGGGCAACATGTTGTCACTAAATTGACGAATAAAGTAAAGAGCGAATTTCCAGACACACAGTTTTCTGTGTATTGTGACAATTTTTTTACATCACCTGGATTATTAAGTGCTTTAAAAAGTAGCAATGTCAAAATTACTGGAACAGTTCGTCAAAATAGAGTGGACAAATGTCCACTAATGGAGGTAAAGTCTTGTAAAAAGCAGGCCAGAGGATTTTACGATTACAGGCTGGACACTAACGATAATATTTGCGCCATACGTTGGAATGACAACAGCGTTGTTACACTGTTGTCAAATGAATTTGGCGTACACCCTGTTCAAAAAGCCCGCCGATATTCAGTTGCTGCCAAACAGAAAATTCATATTGATCAACCAAATGTTGTACACCAGTACAATCGATATATGGGTGGAGTAGATAGATTAGATGCTAATATCGGAGTTTACAGGATTGCCATTAGAGGAAAGAAATGGTATATTCCCATTTTGATGTGGCTAGTTGACGTCACCGTCAACAATTCTTCTTTGCTCGCCAGATCACTAGGGGCGAACGTAGACACGCTGGAATTTCGCCGATCTATTGCAAGGGATCTACTCCAGAAATATGGGAGTGGCAAAACTCAGCCTGGACCACAGAAGCCAGTAAGGACAACTGTACCTATTTCTGTAAGAAAACATGCAGCTCAGCATATTATTGTCACCGGTCAGGTGAGAAGAAGATGTGCACTGTGTAAAAACAAAACAGTGAAAATGTGCCGCAAATGTGACGTTAATTTGCATGATAAATGCTTCGATCCGTTCCATTCATAAATGATATTACGTCTTATGTACCTTACTAGCCCATTTTAATTACTCAAAGTTACTATTTCTCTTATCTAAACTAGAAATAAAAATGACTAGCTTATAATATTGTTTTATTTCGTCGATTCTCTCTCCATACTGGTGTACGACCTTATGTGCCCAAGGGGTCGTTTTCGACCCACTGAAAAAAATCTACTTTCAAAACTGAAAACCGCAAATTACTACCACAACCCTCATCTGCGGTTATCAATAAACGACATATGTGAAATTTACAAAAATCGGTGTTATAAAAAGTTCTGGGCATATATGGGTTAAGTCGATTAAAAAGTAGTGTAAAAATTATTGCATGTTTACTTTGTGGAGCCGTCGGTTAGAGGAAATACACAAAACTACAATTCGCAACTCTTTTAAGAGACTTAACAGTGGAACGTTTAAGAATAACAAAATGAACAAATTAATTCACCATTCATACTCAGAAACGAACCATCGATTTTACACCGCCATCTAGCGTTGAGTAGCGTGTAATTTTTGTCATTAGCGCCACTTCACGCCGCGGCGGTAAACGGAACTACGTCCTGTCGCGTCTAATTGAAACAATTTACTTGAATTAAAATAGATTTATTGAAGTTTACTCGATGTTTATGTTGTGTTTACAGTTTGATTGCGTTGGTGATTTGTTGGTTACGAGATTGAGAGTTAAGTAGTAGTTTGTGTGATAGTTAAATTAAGAGCACTTGTTTGAACGTTATTGTATTTTAAAATTACTTATTTAGGTTAGGTTTTTTAAGTAATTAAGCTGCTTACGGTGGTATGTTGCCGCCTAGTTTTCATGTGTACAATTTTATTGCACTTGCATGTTTCAAAATGTCCTTTCTGTTAAATTATTAACATAGTTTAAGCAATTGACGGTTTTATTTGCTGCAATGCTAAAATAAAATACAATTGAGTCAAATAAATTACTTTTATAAATACCCCAAAATTTGCAGAATTTTTTTCAGGCTACTTACTACTGGACTAAAGAGGAATGCGGTAACAAATGCTTATTACTTTTATTTACTCCGTAATGTCTCTCTTAGTGCAATACAGAGTACGTATTTGTTGTTTGTGGATTTTTCACACAAAATTTATTGTTTTTACCAAGTTGTAAGTTTTCGCGATAAGTATTATACTGGAAATGAAACTGTTATTCAAGATGTAAATCGCGTATATTTGTGTCTCGTGTTTTTTATAGGGCACATGATTATGGCTGACTGATTTTTCTCTTACCTATACGAATTCGGAGGCAAACGAGCTGACGAGGTCACATTTGCAACAGCAGAAGAGCTTCTCTTCTAGCTTAGTCTTCTTTTTAATAGCAATAGAGCTCCTTGTGAAAGAATTCATCCAGGGAAGTACTGCCATAGAAGGTTAAGGATGCTAGTGAAATTATAGGCACATGAGACTTGACATATTTCATAAATTTATGTTCTAGGGTGACGAGTGCAGAGGTCAAAATTAAATAATCTTTATTTCATAGATAAGCAAATTACACTTGAAATCATCATACTGATTAAATTCTACAGTTCATTTGTAAGAATGACCAAGAAACTCTCTGCCGTTCACTGACTATAACGCGGATAAGTGACAAATGGTCATATAATCGTTTTAAATAGCAAAAGATAGAGCACAAAATTCTCTTTTAAAAACTGTTAAAATTAGTTAACGTGTTCGAACTAACACTAACGACACATAGCTGAAATACCATTAAACAATTTCAATATTCAAAACTGGATTATGGTTTTTTTACGACATCTCAAAAAAAATATTTAATTTAAACATCTTAGATCGAGACTAGCTAGAGCTAAACGGGTCACTACCATGGATTTTTGTCATCCAAGTACGCAGAAGCCATATAAAATAACCTTTAGTATAAAGTTTTTGTTTCACTAGAATAGAATAGAATAGAATAGAAACCATTTATTGTAACGCCACAATATAAAAAAAAAAAACACAAAAACAAAGACTAATATAACTAGAACAGAAATAACACAAAGAACAGCATAAAAACATTTCAACAACAAGTTACATAATACTATAGTGACATGTGTGCGGCTGTGGCGTGTACAAAAGGATCCCATTCAGCTAAAGTCACAACCAAGGCTAGGTTGTGACGCTGGTTTTCAATGGGCCCTAGCCGAGTGAGTGAGAGTGACGGACGTATGCGTCCCGAAACAGAAAATAAATAAAATAAACTACGTAAATACTTATATCATGAGTGTGTGTATAGTCACTATAGTCTTAGGAGCAGTGGCAGGGCCCCTCAGTTCTTTATAATTTAAAGTTCTCAGTAGCACTGCATCTGTTATGGACAGGCGTGTCGCCTATCGTCAGACACACAACTTGTTCGTCACGTCACTTGGTCATATATCATAAAAAATGAAACGTAGCTCTTGTATGCATAACGCCATCTTTTCTTCCTTTTACGATTCCAAATTCACCTTCATTTTTAAATGGTCCACAGCTAGTTATAATGATAACGGGTTACATCTTCTTACTATGTCTTTTCTAGCTTTCCTTCGTTTTTAAATTCTATGTTATTACAAAAGCTGTTAACATATTTACAACAGCTGCAGTGCGGCTCAGAGGTCCGTCACCTTGAGACATAAGTTGACAAGTCCCGTGTGCCTGTAATTTTACCAGCACCCTTGCCCTTCAAAACCGGATCGCAGTAATACTCACGTTACTGCTTGGTGGGAGAAATAGATAAAGTGACAGCACTTCCCTGCACGAATTCTTTCGCAAGGTACTCTACAAAACGTAGTTATGATTTTTTCACGATTTTATCTACGTAGAATTAGTGCTTCGAGAAGCCTACTGTACTAACACCAATTTTCGTCAAAATCTATGTGGAAAGAGAATAATTCTCAGTAAAAGCATAAATATGTAATAGAGAGGTAGTGAAATACTAATGTAGGTAAATTCTTTAAGACAAAATTTTCAAATCATGCTCTATTTTACCTTGAGAGCGTTTACACACTACGTGCGATTGGAGCAAGTGTGATGAAAAATGTAATAATGATATCTATCTGCGTCCAACAGACACGAAGTGATATTACTAACTAAAATTCGGCAAAGCGACAAAACATTTTTTTGAGATATCATAAAAACCACAAGCCAGTTTTATATAATAATGTATAGTTTTATAATAATGAAATTTGCTTCGTTAGGGTAAATTCCGATAAGTCAAACACAGTATAATTTTAAGTGTTTAAAAAAAAAAATTGTGTTCTATCTTTTTGTATTTAAAACGAATTTTACACAGTATAGTGCAGCCTATCTTTTAAAAGATAAACACCGATGCTGATCCAGAAAGTTATAAAAATTATATAGCGTCAAGAAAAGTTTCAGGAACGTGTCTGTAGAGATTACATTTGAAGGGGAGAGGGCGTGGAATAAAAAAATGGACGAAATAAGATTTCTATAATTGAGTTTATCTTTCGATATTGAAAAGGATATTGAGCAAGTGCTAATTTTATGACTTTCTGACAAAGAATTCGATTTTGAAGAGTAAGAGCGTTTTCGGACTTATGACGGTCCGAAATGTTACAGGGACCATTTTATCTCTAGGTGTACAAGCGATACTCATATTTTTTCGGATTCGGAATGTATAGTCTCGGATTAGGAATAAATACGAATCGGATATAGTGCGCAAAGGCGTTATGGTGTAATTTATTGGTCAAAAACGTTAAAACATTATTAATTTCTTAAAAAGGAATAAGTATATATTTTCAGATCCCTTACTAGAGAAATGATTGGTTCTCCATACAAATTTCAAGCATTTCACCCCCTTTAATAATTATTTTTGTGACAAAAAGTTGATGATGAAAAGATGTTTGTAGTCTACACCTAGACTTGACACAGTATATAAAAGTTAGTTTTTCTAAACCGACTTGGCCGGGGATCGTTAAATATTCAGTATCCCATTTAGTTATAGCTTTATTTATCCCTTACAACGTAAATGGAATACTTTAAGTTTATTATTTTACTTATTTACTTACAGCTTATTCTATATGTTAGTATAGTTAGTATATGATCTTAATTTACAGTTAGTAATGTTATGTGTTAGGTTCGCCTTTAGCGGTGAAAGGCTCCTCCAACTATAGCGAAATGTTATCGCTCCAACTCGTCTTCTTTGCTTATAGAGTATCAGTATCCTATAGATATATAAATTGATGATCAGCATTAAGTAATGTATTTTAATAATAAACAAAAATGTTATCGATTATCATTAGTATCCTAGGTACCATCTTTCTCTATTCCAAAATTCATCAAATTTATAGGAAATGAAACTATTTTTGATTTAAATCGCGTATATTTGTTTTTTCAAACAAACCGACGTTTCGGGCCCTTTACAGGTCCCATGGTCACGGTTGACTGTGGTGGTACAGTCTTCAACCAGTTATGTCTAATATTGATGCAAACCACCCTATTTTTCCACTATAGTTACAATAGTTATTAATTAAATACCTTATTTTTAATTTTACAAAGAAAACATTCCAATTTACGCTACATTAAGTTTTACAAATTATTTTATTGAATGAAATTTTTATTAAGTTTAATTTATTATTAATTATTAATAGAAATTAGAATAAATTAAAACATATTAATTAGTACTGCAGTCTTATGTCTGTTTGGGATTTTTCATTAGAGGAAATACTGGATCCCAAACTGGTGGTACGGAGAAACCATCTTCCCTGTTGAAATTAGAATGTTTTTTAATTTCAATGGCCTCTCGCAGCATCCTGGGTAGATAACGGACTTCTTTTGCAAGGACCTGGGGTTTGTCAAACTTCATTGAATGTGTAGGTTTATCCATGACATGCTCGTAGACTGCAGACTTGTTTACGCGACGGTGTTTGACATCAGCTGTATGTTCTTTGACGCTTTTAGTTCAGAGGTTTAGGCATGAAGACATAACAGAGTTACTTTCGAATTTATAATATTAGTTCGGATAAATAATGTCCATCGTTTTCATATAATAAAACCAGTATTCATTTGCTTTTCAATTCAAGCTATTAAATCACTTTTCACGTCTCTACGCCTTTATATTAACACTGTTCCTCATACGCACGGTACACACTTCTAAAAATAAACTAACACAATAGAAAATCTAAACAATAAAGATAAAATAATCAACTCCTTTAAAAAGTTTTAAAACAATATAGTGATTCTAATATAGTGACTCGCTGACATGCTAAAACTTTATGGCGGACAAAAAAGCAGCCAAAGCCGCGGGGCATGCTAGTGCATTATAAACATGCTGTTATTCAAGGAATGTAGCGACACGAACCAAATGTCGTGCGGCGAGCGGCGCAGGGAGGGAGCTAGGAGGAAATAAAAAATAAATTAATATTAACCTCGTAAGACCCCGTTTACATCAAAACGACTGGGCGTTTGTTATTATAAAAATCACCATCATTATCATACCATCATTGTTGCCGCCAAGTAGTAATGTCATTCGCGTTCCGGTTTAGAAGGGTTAAGGGTCAAATTACAGGCACGTGGGACTTACGAACTTATATCTCAGGGTGATGGGCGCAGTGGCAGTGCCACTCAGACCTATGCGATTTAAAGCTCTGAGTGGCACTGCAACTGTTATGGATAGGCGTGTAGCTTACCATCAGGCGCACGACTTGTTCATCCCGTCACTTGATATTATAAAAAAAATCATCAACCCATTTATACGTCCCGTAGCTGGACACGGGTCGCCTTACACGCGAGGGTTTAGGCCACACGTTTTCCGAGGGTTGAGTCTTCGGCACGCTACCAAGGCTTCGTTGAAGTTTACAGTGATAAAATTGCAACAACGTAATTATTTTTACGTTAGACGGATGATTGGTTTGTCAGCACAACGCTTCCATTTTATGCTCCTCATCTCTAAAGCTTCGACGTGTAGTGTACATGTGTTAAATTAAATTTTATAATTAATGAAAATAAAAAACGATAAACAATATCGTATAAAGTCAATGGTCATACGTACTTTTATCACA